TTGTTTGATATTTCAAAATAAATACATATTATGACTAAAGCAAATCAAAGCAATGACAATGCAGGAATACTTTTTCACAAACTAAATATATTCCCCATCCTGGAAAATTATGATATACGCCATAACATCCTCACCTCCAGCCTCCCACCACCCCTGGCCTCAAACACTGCTCAAACATTCACCATCCTAACAAGCACAGAAGGCTGCACCAATCAGTTTGAAAAGCAACACAGAACTTACTTTATTTATTTTCAATGCTGGTAATGTTTCTGCATCTGTTTTTGCCAGATGAAGTTTATTTTCTGGTACATACAGTTCTTTCACTTCATAAGAGGCATCCACAGGTACAATATCCTGTAAAGCAAGAAAACTGTTTGATTCAACAATTTGGATTTCTCAAAAGAGAAAAAGAAAATAAATCATGGATAGATAAGTAAAAAGGCAATGTGACAACATACCATGGAATTAATAAAAGTATAAAGAGTAATAACACAAAACAAAACAAAAAACAAATTCAGAGTTCCCTCAAAGAGCATCCTAATGAAGAAAATCAACAATTCCAACTGTTAAAATAAACAACAGTATAAAAAGGGACTTTGAACCAACCCAGATGTCCTTCTGTAGATGGACAGGGAAACTTTGGTATATATACACAATGGAATATTACTCAGCATTAAAAGAGAATAAAATAAGGCATTTTCAGGCAAATGGATGAAACTGAAGAATATAATACTAATCCAATCCCAAAAAACCTAAGGCCAAATGTTTTCTTTGATATGAGGATGCTAACTCACAATGGAGGGGCAGGGGGATGGAGAATCTTTAGTTAGGGCAAGGGGTAGGAATGACAGTGGAATGTGTTAGACATCATTACCCAAAGACACAAATGGTATGAAAATACTTTGTGTACAACCAGTGACTTGAAAAATTGTACTCTATATGTATAATATGAAATGAGTCGCATTCTGCCATCACGTATAACAAATTAGAATAAATAAATAATAAAGTAAAAAATAACATTAAAAAAAGCAGGAAGGGGGGCTTTGAATGCTGTGGTCCCTCCATTTAATTTGCCTAATTTTAGCTGAGTTACTCTCAAACAAATAGCATCACATATGCAAACATGTCCCACAACTTAGTAGGGAAAAAATAAATTCCTGGAATATACTGTATATCAAAAGTAGGCAACTTCAAGTGATCTCAAATACAATGTTAGAAAAGGAATTTAAAAACAAAAGAATCCCTTGAAATGTACCATTTTGTTCATTTGCAGATACACCTTCATCACTACCATCACTAAAGCCACCTTTCATTCATGCAACACGATTTTCCAGAATATGTCCGTTTTATTCCCACTATCATGTTGTGAGAAACAATACTTTTTATCCCACAAGAAATTTTCCCTCATACTAGGAATTGAACTCTGGATTGCACAAATGCTAGGCAAGAGCTCTGCCACCAGAGCTACATTCCCAGCCCAGACTGGAACTTTCATCAAAGCTCCAAGAACTCATTTACAGGAAACAGGGACAATGTTTTTCTTTTCCCATTTACCTTATAAGTATATAAATATTTGTGATTACCACAACATAAACCATTTACTCACTGCTCTCACAACACCTGCCTTAGGAGTATCCTAAATGTATTTGATCACTTTAACTTG